TCCTGCAGAAAAACGTCAAGGCCTAGTCGACTCAATGCATTGGCCTTGCAAAGCCGTTATCCAAAACAAAGATTTTGAAACAAAATGCCAAGAGTAAATATTATATTATACTTATTTTTAACTTTTTAATATTAAAAAATTAACTTATTTATTTAAAAAAATTAGTATTTTTCTTCATTTTCAGATACCACTGCTATTTCAATGACTGCAACCTTTTTTTAATATTACTGCTGTTTCTAAAATAAATAAAAAAAACTACTATTGATGTGATTTGTAATCTTAATGTGATTTGTTTTATTCTATTAAATTGAAGTGTGAAAATATAATAAAATTTTTTCAATAATAAAAAAAAATTGCTCAAGAGTATTCAAAAAATTCCAGCTATTTTTATGCTCATAACTATAAATGCACAGACCAAACCATTTAAATATCAAAAAAGACTATATCCAAACCATTTAAATACCAAAAAAGACTATAAATCCAAACCTTTTGTGAATGATAAACTGAAACTGCTAATAAGACTTCATCATTTGGTATCTTTTCACTAGTTTCTGGTTCTTTAGGTAAGTCTTCCTGATTAAAATATATTTTCAAAATATATTTTCAAAAACTAATTTTTTAATGATTAAAAATTATTTTCAAACACTAATTGTAAATTTAAACAATTATAAATTTTAAAAACGCTAAATAACTTTGCATCAAAATTATCATTACTATTATCAATCAAATATCACGATTTGGGATTGGCCATAAATTACGCTAAACTATTATTATTATTATCATTAATAAAACACTAAATTATTATTATTAAAACACTAAATTATTATTATTATTATTATCATTAATAAAACAAAAAAGATCAAAATTTTCCCTCGCAGAGTCATAAGTTAAATAAAAAATCAAAATAGCTCATTAAGTTTAATGAAAATCGCCACCTGAAAGAACTTAAGATCTCCTTCTTTTTTAAAAATAAATTTAGTGTTGCATAATTTATGGACGATCCCTTTACATATAAAGCTTAAACTTTTTTTTCTTTAAAGTGTTTTTTATCAAAGTTTTCAGTTTATTTCATTCATTATTATTGCAAATTATATATATATATATATATATATATATATATATATATATATATATATATATATATATATATATATATATATATATATATATATATATATATATATATATATATATATATATATATATATATATATATGCACTGTCCTCCATAACTAAGGGAACACATGTTAAAATTCATAAAAACACAATATAAGGCCTATTACTACTTTAGTTTTAATACAAAAAAATATTGATTTAAGTATAATATAGTCTAAGTAAGTATTTTATGGAAGTTAAATATATTCAAACACCTTAATACAAATAATCCAGGAGAAAGTTATAGTATATTTAAAGTAACAAAAAGCTATTATTTCCAACTCTAAAACTGAAGGAACTTTTAACAATACCTCACACTAATCAAATGTAATCATCAAAAAATACTTCAAAAGCACACAAACATGTTAAATAATTCAATAATACACCATCAAAAACACATAAGATCAATAATTAATGGCATATTAGTTGTTTTAGATAACCTCAACACATCTATGAGGCATGAGGCATAGAGTCTAATAGTTTGTCAATTTGAATTTGTTTTATCTGTGACCAGGCACTATGAAGTCCCTGATACAATTCTTTTGCATTTCGAAACTTGCCACGCAAACGTACTTTGTCATCAAGCTGTTTCTATAAATTTTCAATAGGATTTAGGTCAGGAGATTGTGCAGGCCATTGCATAACACTAACTTTATTAGTTTCGAGCCAAGCTTGAACTAGTTTTAATGTATGCTTCGGATCGTTATCTTCTTACAGTACTTTCTGAAATATTTAGAATTCATCATTTGTATCTCTTGCACAAGCAAATGAGTTTTTTTTTTAATAATTTTACAACCTAATAATAAAATTTTTTACCTAATAATTTTACAATCAGCATGTAGAGTACTTTTTTTTGGCCGTCCACCTAAATGCTCAGTTTCAACAATTCCTTTCGCTTTATATTAAAAAAAAACCCAGATAAAATAGTCAAACAAGTGTGGACAAAATAAAAATATATTCTCAATTTACCTGTAATTAACATATCTAAAAAGTTTTAAATCACAATCTTTTTATAATCATTTAAAATAGTTATGGAGGACAGTGTGTGTATATATATATATATATATATATATATATATATATATATATATATATATATATATATATATATATATATATATATATATATATATATATATATATATATATATATATGCATATATATATATATATGTATATATTTATTAATAATTTCTTCAGTATTATATAAATTTACAATAAAAAGGTAAATTTAACTTGAAAACTGAAAAGGGATAATACCTAATGAAAGGCATCTTGCTTATTTCCTAATTTTATTGTCTTAAAGAAATGAAACAAAATTTTAAAATTGACATTTAGCATAACTGATTTTGTGACATTTTGAAGCCATTTAAAAGCACAAAGATTTTTTTTTTTTGTTTGGTTATTTAACTTTTTTGTGCTTAAAAGCAAAATCGTATCTTTCAATCGATTAACTTCATTTGCAATTTTGTTATTGGCTTGATTTGCCAACTCATAAAGTTAGGAAAAGCTATTATTCTGTTAACTCTGAAAGATTTACCAATGTTAATTCAGCTAAAATCATTAATTAAAGATGATGGTGCTAATCTAACACATATCTTCCATGCTTGGATTCTAATAGCCATTTGATAGTCCTGATCTAACAATAACAGATTCCATTTTCTTTAGATTGGTCTTGTGTGTAAATTGTTGGGACCAATAATCCATAGAGCTTTCTTTTGTAAACATTTGAGTTGCATAATTTTTATTGATTTACTGTTTCCCCAAATTTCAATACCATACGTTAAATGACTTTTAACTACAGCATTGTATAAAATAACTCATTTACTCAATTTACTAGTTTATTGAACTTTCTGAGTAGTAGGTAGATGCTTTTACTTATCTTTTTTGATGTTTGTACTATATGGTGATGCCATTTCATTTTGTTATCCAAAAAATACCAAGAATGCTAACACTTTTTTCTTTACAATTTTCTCCACATTGGGTAACCTTAAGCCCTTGTAACATTATTTTTATATTTTTTGTGCTACCAAATATCATTATTTTCGTTTTTTCAGGATGAAGTTATAGTATATTTGCTAAAAACCAATAACTAATTTTTTCTAATTCCCTGCAACAAACTGTAACAGTTCAATAGAGTCAGCCTTTGCAATAATTGTTGGTCATAAATATAAATTTTGAAAAGTAATGGACCTTACATGTTCCTTGACCAACATCCAACTTTACTACTCTTTCTTTTGATGTAGAACCTCCAATAAAAACTGACTGCCTTCTGTTTGTTAAAAATGAAGAGAAAATGAATTTTAAAGTTTCTAATTTTGTTTTAATTTTTATTTACTAGACTAGATTATTTATATAACTAGTCGAGAAGGAAATATTGTAATAGCAGAGCTAATCAAGACAAGTTCCCTTCGTACCAAAGTACTACTTATACATTGAGTAGGCAGAGTCAGGATTTGAACCTGCAATCCTGCTGCTACAGCCAATAATTATTCTGAACTTTTTAGCAGTGCTTTACCCAACTGAGCTATCCCGGCTCAAATTATCATATTAAGAATTTTAAAATTAGTATTTACTGCATTGCATCCCTTTTTGAAGCTGAATTGATTAATCGGAATAATTCTGTTATCATCAAGATTTTTCTCAATTTGATATATAGAAGCTTATTCAAATATTTTTGATAATGCTGGAAATATACTTATTGGCCTGTAATTCTCCATAACGTTGAGACTTTCTTTTTTATAAACAGGTTTTATCATAACTAGGTTATTTTCATAGACAAATTCTTTGAATAATTCAAAATTAAGACGGTATATATTTATACAATAGCATTTTAAATGACTTGGTTTATGACTTTGTTTGTTTTTATCAATCATCGAAAAGGTAATTGTGTAACGGACGTTGTGGTTGGTTATATTATTAATTATTTTGTGACTATTTTAAAAAAACTTGAACTAGTCATTAATTCTAATTTTGATGATTTTCATATTTTTGATGATAAATCAAAAGGGCTGATTTTCAGATGGATTTTTTAATTTATTTCTCTCTGCCATCAATAATTTTCTGCTTTCCTGTTGCGCTACGCTATATGTATGCATTGGTTTTTACAATGCTATGTGTTTTTACAATGCCACTTTTACAATGCGTTTTTACAACGCCACTTTTACAATGCGTTTTTACAATGCTATGCGTTGCGCTAGGTTTTTAAGCAACACACTTTAAAGGAAGTTCAATCCACTTTAGTCATGTATTAAGATTTCAAGTGTTTCAAATTTCTTGTCTTGAAGTTCTTTATAAACGTTAAAATCACGAATTCGAACATTAACCATTATTAAATTACTTTAAAGTATTTATACAAATTTAAGTATAGCAAATAAAAAACATCTTCACGCTGTAAAGGTGGAAGTCGAATGATATATAATTTACAGATTTAGAAAAAATGAGATCAGCAATAAATTGCCGACTGTAAACTGTTAGAGCTAAGCATCGGGTCAGCAAAAAAAAAAAGAAACAAAGGGGTTGCCATAAAACATAGAAACAAGGTCTGCAATTTTTTGCTAACCTCAAACACTTTTAGGTCAGCAGTTAGGTCAATATTGCAAAATGCCAACCCTAATTCCAAAAACTGTATATGTATATATATATATATATATATATATATATATATATATATATATATATATATATATATATATATATATATATATATATATATATATATATAGCCCTTGGAATTAGGGTCAAATATCAACCCCAGCCGTTTACTAATATATATATATATATATTAAATATATATTATATATACATATATATATATACATATATATATATATATATATATATATATATATATATATATATATATATATATATATACATTGTGACCGGGGCTGCATAACCATTTGTACATCCTAAAGTACATTTTATTTTTTCATTTACTAATTTATATATATATATATATATATATATATATATATATATATATATATATATATATATATATATATATATATATATATATATATATATATATATATATATATATATATATATATATATATATATATAATTTAGGGTGTCCCAAAAAACAACATTTTTGAAAATAATCTGCTCTCACCCCCTAAATGTGTTCTATCTAATACAGAAACACTAGGTTTAAATTTTTTTTGAATAAAAAATATTTTAAGGGGTCCCTCAAGACCCTCGAATATTTAATGGGTCCCTAATATTTTCGAAAAAAAAAATTTTCAAAAATATGTCAACCTGGTACTCAAATAAAGCGAAATTATATAAATATTTCAAAAATAATATTCATTTTGAAATATTTAAACTTATTTATCAATATTATCATAAAAAATCATTAGAAATGCATTTTTTAAATTTTTTCTTAAATAACGCAATTTTTTATGTAATTAAAC